ATCTCAGGGGAGCCTGGAGGGCTTTCTAAGAGGCACACGCAGCAGCCCCATCTAGCACAAACCAAAGGGATGTTGTGAAATGTGCCACTAGATCCAACTAGGATGCACGCAGGCTTCGTTACAGGGTTTCCCAGGTCCTGGAAGTGGATTTACATGAGTGTGGTATCATGACAGTGGACAAAGCTGTAGGGTGGCTTTTGAATAAATGTGTTTAAAATAAAACTTTAAAGGAAGAAGTAGTGCACTGTTGGATCAGGCCAAAGTCCAGCTGTTTTCCCATCAGCTAACCCAATGCCTCTGCAAAGTCTGCAGGCAGTGGTTAAGAGTGGTGGACTCGTAATCTGGTGAACCAGGTTCGCTTCCCCTCTCCTCCACATGCAGCTGCTGGGTGACCTTGGGCCAGTCACACTTCTCTGAAGTCTCTCAGCCCCACTCACCTCACAGAGTGCTTGTTGTGGGGGAGGAAAGGAAAGGAGAATGTTAGCCGCTTTGAGACTCCTTCGGGTAGTGATAAAGCGGGATATCAAATCCAAACTCTTCTTCTTCATCATCCTCTGTGAGTTTGTCTAAGCCTCCTTAAAAGCCATCCAGGTTGGGGGCCACTGCTGGGTTTTGTGCCAGCAAATTCCATAGTTTCAGCTATGTGCTTTGTGGAGAACTTCGTTCTGCCTGGCCCAAATCCTCCAAAACTCAGCTTCATTGGACGGCTCCCAAATTCCAGCGTCTTGCTTGATGGAATGATGGTCTGATGCACCTGGAGTTTCACATTTGAACACAAGAAGCTGGGTGTTTGCTGAATCGGCCCCGTGGCCCATGCAGTCCGACATTCTGTTCTCGTGCTGGCAAACCACATTCCCCAGTGGGACACCACCCACAGACTTCTCAAGTGACAAGTGTCTGAAAGTGGTTTCTCAAAAGTTTTTTTTTTAATTAAAAAAACCAACCCACTGGCAAGAAAAGGAAGGGGAAGCAGCAGAGGGGAAATGAGGGTAGCTCAGGCAGCCAGTGGTGGAGTGGCTGAGGGTGAACAAACTGAACTTGAATCCTGGAAAGATGAAGGCCTTGTGGGTGGGTGGTTCCTGTATCTTGGAGACACGTCAATTGCCTGTTCTGGAAGGGGTTGAATTCTCCTCTGGTGGAGCAGCCATGCTGTTTGGAGGGTACTTATTGATGATCCATCTCTATCACTAGAGGGCCAAGTGGCCTTGGTCCAGTATACCTGAAGGAGCGTCTCCACCCCCATCGTTCTGCCCGGGCACTGAGGTCCAGCTCTGAGGGCCTTCTGGTGGTTCCCTCGCTGCAAGAAGCCAAGCTACAGGGAAGCAGGCAGAGGGCCTTCTTGGTAGTAGCACCCGCCCTATGGAATGCCCTCCCATCAGGTGTCAAAGAGATAAATAACTACCAGACTTTTAGAAGACATCTGAAGGCAGCCCTGTTTAGGGAAGCTTTTAATGTTTGACGGACTATTGTATTTTAATATTGTGTTGGAAGCCGCCCAGAGTGGCTGGGGTATAAATAATAAATTTGTTGTTGTTTTGTTTTATTTTATTATGCAGCCAGGAGTGCCTTTTTACCAGCTCCAACTAGTACACTAGAGGTGACCACTCCTGGACTATGACAGCCTGACCACATTGGCTCATGGGCTGGCAACCCCAAGGCTTGATTACTGTTCCATGCTTTATATGGGGCTGCCCTTGTATCTGGTCCAGAAGCTTCAACTAGTGCAGAATGCAGCAGCCAGGTGGCTCACAGGAGCAGATTCCTGGCAACGTGTTACTCTAGACTGTCTGATTCATTGTGCTCCACCTCGATCCCTGGGTAGTTCCACTTCTGGTAGTTCCCCATGTGGCTCGGTGGGCCATCACCAGGGACGGAGCTCTTAATGCAGCATGCCCTGCCCTGTGGAATTCCCTGCCAGTAGAGCATTTCAGCACAAACCGCCCCTCCCTTCCCTCTGACAGTGTCTGAAAACTATATTGTTTAGGCCTTTGCAACATGAATTTTCTCTTTGTAGCCATTTGGCGTTTATTGATGTTTTTACGAATGCTTTCTGTTGGTTTTATTCTTTCATGTTGCACAATGCCTTGATATATATATTGTTTTGAAAGTGTAAATATGTAAATGCATAAATCTAGGTCAGTATTTTTACACTAACTGGCAGCGGCTCTCAGAAAAGGAGCCTAACAGGAGATGCTGGGGATCAGACCTGGGGTGCTCTGCTGCTGCTTTGAAGCAGTGTGTCTCCACAAAGGAGGTTGGAGAGACCCACCAAGTGCCACTGACCTCCTTTGACTACTAGCTCTGTGCCTGGGGCAGAAGGAAGTGGGGGGGGGACACAGGCTGATGGGAGGAAGTGATGTCAAAAATGAAAGTTGCAGGCCCCTAAGCTCCTGAACGAAGTCTTGTGGGCAGAGGAGCAGAGATGTTTGACGGCATGCAGCCTTGGAAGCCATGTTGTTGTTGTTTAGTCGTTTAGTTGTGTCCAACTCTTCGTGACCCCATGGACCAGAGCACGCCAGGCACTCCTGTCTTCCACTGCCTCCCGCAGTTTGGTCAAACTCATGCTGGTAGCTTCAAGAACACTGTCCAACCATCTTGTCCTCTGTTGTCCCCTTCTCCCAACATCAGGGTCTTTCCCAGGGAGTCTTCTCTTCTCATGAGGTGGCCAAAGTCTTGGAGCCTCAGCTTCAGAATCTGTCCTTCCAGTGAGCACTCAGGGCTGATTTCCTTCAGAATGGATCGGTTTGATCTTCTTGCAGTCCATGGGACTCTCAAGAGTCTCCTCCAGCACCAGAATTCAAGCCATCAAAAACCCATCACTCTGATCTTGGAAAGCGATGGAGACGTAAATTTGTACACTAAACTGCGTTAAGGAGCAGACTGATGTATGCAAGGAAGGGGCAAACATGTATGGCCTAGCACTGCATGGAGTGGGGACGGGGAGATGGTTCAAGGGCTGTGAATTTGGGGGAGGTAGCTTCTCAGAGACAGGTAACTGGGAACTGTGGGGTACAGACTTAGAGGTTTTGGTCTGATCCACTGGGCCTCCTTTTATATTACTCTTGCAATAAAAATAGGTGTCGGAGGAAAAGGTTAGGAGGGCCCACTGCCTGGGTCCTTAAAGATAAAGTCCATTCGGTCCAGTCACGGATGACTCTGGGGTTCCAGCGCTCATCTCGCTTTATTGGCTGAGGGAGCCAGTGTACAGCTTCCGAGTCATGTGGCCAGCATGACTAAGCCACTTCTGGCAAACGAGAGCAGCGCACGGAAACGCCATTTACCTTCCCACCGGAGCGGTACCTATTTATCTACTTGCACTTTGATTTGCTTTCAAACTGCTAGGTTGGCAGGAGCAGGGACCGAGCAACGGGAGCTCACCCCGTCGCGGGGATTTGAACCGCCGGCCTTCTGATCAGCAAGCCCTGACGATTTATTCACCGGGAACCAAATTCCAAAAGTTCCATTTATTTGCTTTAAAGAAACACACTACTTTGGTTTTTGAATTTATTCTTGGACCTGTGATTCCTGATTCTCTATTGAAACCTGAGGGGTGGGGAGGAGATTAAAGATGTTGGCCAGATCAGCCTCCTCACCTGGACAGTTTGGTCTCCACCCCCTCATCCTTTTCCAAGACGCATGAGGATCTGGCTGCAGTTGCGTCTTTCCTATATTCTGTACATGCTCAGGTGCACTCTCCTCCCCAACCCCCATTTCCAAGTCTGAAGCTTAGCATCTAAAGCAGATTCCTAAAAGTTTAGCTTGGTACTTGCAAAAGGAGAGGCACTGTGCTACAAAGACTATGGGTGTGGTGTTCAGCTACATTTTACTGAAATGAATGAGCATGGATAGATTAGGTCCCTTCATTTCCATAGGTCTCCTCTGTGCAGTTGAATACCACCCTATGCCAGACACAGGCTCATAGCTGTCAACTTTTCCCTTTTCTTGCGAGGAATCCTATTCAGAATAAGGGAATTTCCCTTTTTTAAAAATGGAAAAGTTGACAGCTATGCAGGCTGTGCAGTCATACCAGGCTGCCTTACCTTAGCTAAAAAGAGATGATACGCATTTTGCGAACAGAAGCACAGATCCATTCCCCAGCACTTTCCAGCAGAAAGGAGCCTAGATATAGGAGGGCTGGTGGAGAGTTTTCCCTGCCTAAATCCTTGGGAGGCCCCTCCCTCAGCGCAGTAGTAGACCCTCCTAAGCTAGAGAGGTTTGGTTCAGGACCCTATCTTCAAAGGTAGCTCCCTCTCTTCTTGTTCAGGAATAAATATCTATTAGCCCCTCTCTCCTCCTCCTCCTCCTCCTCCTCCCTGGAATGAAATCCTTCCTGATTTCTGTGCTTCCTGTTTATTTCCTGCCACCATCATCGGCTCACCTCCTTCCTGCATCCCTTGTCTGACAGTCCCATCCTAATTCCCCGGGCAGGCTTTCCATTCATTTCACTGAAGCTTTTATCAGCTTTCTCTCTCTCTCTCTCTTGTATTTTCCTTGGGGAAGAGTTGGAGTGGTAGCTGGGAATGCAAGAGGAGCAGGGCGGGGGGGGGGCTAGGTTGGTGGGGGAGAGACGAGAGAGTTCGCAGACGGAAGCACTTTGCAGAAGCCAGACTTTTGTGCAACAGGGAGTCTCCAATTCTCCCCCTGACCCCTCCCTCCCCCCGGTCTCATTCTCAGCCTTCTTTTGAAAGCCTGGGGAGAAGAACCCAGGAGTGTTTTTCAGGAGACAAAGCTGCTTTCCTTTGCAAAGGGAAGGGCAAGCGAAAGGGAGGCAGGGGAGGAAGCCTCTGAATTCTCCCAGCCCACCTTAAGAAAAACAATGTGTGGCTGATTCCAGGCAGGCAGGGGTGACCTTACGAAACACACAAAAAAAGCAAGTTGGCTTGGAGCGAGGCAGGCAGGCAGTCGTAGTGGTACAGCCTCCCTTGTGATCTTTCTACTCCCCTCCAGCCTTTTCTTCCGATCGCCTCTGTGAAAAGCTAGCTGGGGGGGGGGGGAGAGAACTAGGACTCCATGGAGCCGTTCCCAAAAAGCTGGCTTGCCTGCTAGAGAGAGAGAGAGACGGGGGGGAGACGACTCTTTCTTTTCTCCTGAACTGGTACATTGTTGAAAAAAACAGAGCCCCATCAATGCTAGGCAACGGGAGGAGGGTGGGATGTCTCTGAACCGCCAGCAGCAGAGAGCAAGAAGGCGCTGCAGAGAGACACAAGCAGACTGACAAGCGCAGCTAGGCAGGGTCCAAGGGCTGCAAAGGTGACACAGAAGAGCCCACCTCCCTTGTGTCCGCAGGGGGGGTGTCTCTCTTTTCCCCTTTTCCTGCAGATTCTGCCGCCCTGTCTCCTCCTGGCATCGCTGCTTGGGGAGGCGTGCAAACCCCAGCCCCGTTCCGAGGAAGTGTTTTTCCTCTGCAAAAAAAAGGGGGGAAAACATCTCCCCTTCTTCTGGTTTCTTGTGACTCTTAAGGTTTCCTAGTGCGACTGGTGGAAAGGCCTGGAAGAGGAGGAGGAGGAACAGGGAAGGGAGGGGGGCACCCCAGCACCCTTGGCATGTGACTGCCTGCCTGAGCAAAAAGTGGCGATTTTTTTTTCCGCCGGTCCCGGGGCGAGCGAGGAGCGAAATCTCGAGGTGCGCGCGTGTGTCTGCGTGTCTGGGGCGCTGCGCGCTGCAGCGGATGCTGGCCAGGTGAGTCTGTGCCCGGCTGCGTGGCTGTGTTTGCGTACGTGCTTTGCCAGGCACCCGGGAAAGGATGTTGTTGCACAGTTTTTTCCCCCCCGATGCGCCTTCCTCCCGTCTCCCTGCCGCTTTCCCCGCCGCTGCCCTGATGTCCTCTCCGTAAAATATTAATCTCCCTTTAACCGTTTTCAGCTGGGGATGTTTCAGGAGGAAGGAGATGGAAGGAGGGGGGGCATATAACTCCTGATTTTATCGGCTCTGGAAAATAGGTTGGGTTTGGGCTATCCCCCACCCCCACCCTTCCGATGTCTGTAGACGAGGAAGTAAGGTTGGTTTCCTCATTTTGGGGATGGAGTGATGCGGGGGTTTGTTTTCTTCATCTTCCTTGGCTTCGTCTGCCCTTCTCTCAAAGAGAGAGCGACACACAGAGAGAAAGCCGCTAGAAGCACCCTCTGGTTTCCTCTTCATGAAACTCTCTTTCTTTTTTCCCCTTCTTCCCTCCAGTAGCAAATGACCATGGACGCTCCCGGGCTTTCTTCCAGAGGTTTGCTGACCTGTCTCCTGCCTCCCCTGCTGCTGTTCTGTAGCTGGTCAGGTAAGAAGAGCTTCTTTCCTTTTCCATCCAGAGCATCTTCTGCTAAAGGACATGTCTGGGTTTTGACTTTGATCTGTTCGCCTCCCCCCCCCCCTTCCTTCTCCTTGCAAAAACCAGTTGTCTGGTCTTGGCATCGACTTTGGTTGTCGCAGCTCCTCAACAGAGCAAAAGGACGGATTTGTGTTATTGTTATTATTTGGTTTAAGGGAGCATTTGCAGGGCTGATGAGTTGGTTAGGGAAAAGACCTTGATCCCTCTCCTTCCTTGCAAGATCCCCCTCCCCCCCCTCCAAACACCACCTACATACGGTTTCTATCTACGGTTGTGCCAGGGCACGCTCAGGAAATGTTCCCTAAAAAGCCAGAGCTATGCAAAGGCTTCCGAATGATATAATGTTGAGCTCTGTTCGTGAAGGTGGTGGTACTGTTGCAGGAGGCGCTGAGTCCGCCTGGCATTTGGCTGGCATCCACAATGAGGTGCCTGAGGAGAGAAGAGCAGAGCTTCGGAGATTAGATGGGCATCTTGTGACTTCACTGCCTGTCTGCTTGCGGAGTGAGGAGGTTGTGCTGCTGGTGATGTGATTTAGCACTTGTGTCGCTTTTTAAAGACTCGAAAGCACCTGCCGTCTCCTTACAACTGTCCTATAAGGCGGGGCAGCATTGTCCCAGTGTGGTTTATATGGACTGTGTTTAGCAACAAGTATGTGTGTGTGTGTATGCATGCAAACAGTTCTACCTTCATAAATCCCTGAACTGCTCAGGTCTTTCATACTTCGAGAGATCACCTCTTATGTTTGCTGCAAACTTGGGTTCGCTGGCAATGCCCTCTCTGGAATGTGGCTTGACCTATTGCCAAAGGCAGAAGATGTTCCAGTGGTTTAGCCTTCGCTAAACCTCTTTTTCACCAGAGGGTCACCAAAGTCTGGGCTCGGGGGCATCTTTCTGGAGGCTGTGGGCAACCTGTCTGCTCCAGCAGGCGTTGAGTGATGGAGACAGCAGGAGCTCTGCATGTTCGTGTATCTTTATCCCATTTATATTATTGACTTGCTGGCTGTTTTACCTGAAGGGATGGAAACTGTACGTTGCAAGGCACCGCTTCTCAGCTTGAACAGCTCTCTTTTGCTCTAGGAACTGTTCCTTGAAGTCCGTTGCTCTTCCCATTTTACAGATGGACGCTGCTAGGTTGGAAAGGGTGTGTCGTGAACGCCCCACAGCCACCACCACCCTGGAATTATGTATTCTCAGCCGAGCTGCCTTAGATCCTGACCTGCCAATATTTGGGGGGCAACACTGTATAATGCCAACAGCACTCCCCTTTTTAGGTTTTGATTCTTAGAAAGAGATAGTTACAAAATACAGCCCTGCACCTTGAAGATGACCTCCAGCTCTTCTAGGAGAATCAAAATGCATTTGTGCATGCTATCAAAACCTCTCTCCAAGTCTCAGCCTCTCATCCTTACAATGGGAATACTGGTCTGGCTTTGATGTGGCACTTGTAATGGCAGGTTAATTGGAGAGCTGGCTAGGATCCAGCTGGCTGTGTACTGCAACAATTGCCCGAAGGCAAGAGGATATCCTATACATCCCCAGCATGTCCTTGCCCAACCTTTTTCTTGGAAAGTTTTCAAAAAGGAGGTTCTGCTGCCTCCCTGGCTTCCTGATAGGTGCCCATCCATCCTTCGCTAATTGCCATCGTAGGCAGCTTCATTCTGTGGCTTAGATGCTGCTTAAAAGTTACGTTTTTGGTTAAACCGTAGGGAGGGAGAGAATACATAGAGACTTGCCTTATATGAAGATCATAGGTCCATAGTATGGCAAGGCTGGTAGAGCAGAAGACCCTTAATTCCAGGGTTGTGGGTTCAAGCCCTGGCACAAAAGGATTCCTGCATTGTAGGGGGTTGGACTAGATGACCCTTGGAACCCCTTCCAACTCGACAGTTCTGTGATTATATGAAGCTCAGTGGCCTCTGACTGGCAGCCTCTTTCCGGGGTTTCAGACAAGAGACATTCCCAGCCCTAACTGCAGATGCCAAGGATCAAGACTGTTGTCCTTTGCATGCAAAGCAGATGCTGTACTGCCGAACCAAGGCCCTATGCAAACAGAGAAAGCAGCTTATGCAGAACGCTGCTTCATGTAGCTCACTCAGTATGATCTGCACTCTCCAGGGTTTCAGGCAGAAGCCATTCCCGGCCCTACCTAGAGATGCCTGAAACCAAATATGAGACCGTCTGCTTGCAGATGTTCAAGTGCAAAGACAGCGCTGCGAATGAGTGTTCCTGCAGGAAATGTGTGTGCTTCAGCCAGTGTTTTCCACAGGACCCTCGCAAGCAGCGTATGACTGTAGCCCGGCTGTGCATGTTTTCTGGGAAGCTTATTGAGCCAGCGTTCCCAAACGGGTGCTAAGTGCTAGGCTCTCTTTTGTGACTTCCACAGCACAGCCAAGCAAACAATGGTAACCCGTAAAGCAGAAAAGAGTTGGCATGTAGGGTGAATGCACACAGCCTTTGCACACCCATGTACGTGAGAATTCAGACAGAGGCTGGGGTTCCCAGCTGCACTAATCTGCCCAGCTGCTTAAACATGCGAGTGTGTGTCATAAACGATGTCCACCCTTCACAAGTATCCTGCATTGTAATGTGTGAGAACAATGCTCTGCATTTATTCGCACTTCCAACTCCCCAAACTGCTTGTTGTTCCAAAATCCTTATGCCTTTTATTAGCCCAGGCATCCCCAAACTCGGCCCTCCAGATGTTTTGGGACTACAACTCCCATGATCCCTAGCTAACAGGACCAGTGGTCAGGGATGATGGGAATTGTAGTCCCAAAACATCTGGAGCAGGCATAGGTAAACTCGACATAGGCAAACTTAGCTAGGGATGATGGGAGTTGTAGTCCCAAAACATCTGGAGGGCTGAGTTTGCTGTGAATGTTTTTGGTTGTCCTGATGGAAAGCAGTGGCCTAATAAAGATTTTGGACTTTTCATATCATCCAGCAAAGTTGCTGTTTTACACCTTTTTCCCTATACCTTCTCATTGTCAGCAGCAACCTGACAAAGGCAGCATAATGTGGGGAGGAGGCCATGAAAGAGGGGTTTGCTTAACCCTCCCCAAATCCCCTTGGTGAATTCATAGTTGTGGTGATTCATAAGAAGTGCTTAGCTGCAGGATCAGGCCAAAGGCCATCTGGTGCAATGTGGACATCCCATGAAGCTGAGTGTTGGTGGATCAAAGGAAGCCCTTCCTCAGGCAGTGTGTGGTTAATCTCTGGAACTCCCTGCCACAGGAGGCAATGCTGGCCACCAACCTAGGTGGCTTTTAAAAAGGACTGAGCCAATTCATGGAGGAGACGCTCTGCTCTGCCTCCACAGCTGGAGCAGCAATGCTTCTGAATACCATTTGCTGGAAACGACAGGAGGGGAGAGTCGCTCTGGTGCCCGGATCCTGCCTGCGGGTTTCCCATAATGGGCATCTGTTTGGCCACTGTGGAACCAGAATCATTGGACTAGGCAGGGGTAGGCAACCTAAGGCCTGAGGGCCAGATGCAGCCCAATCGCCTTCTCAATCCGGCCCCTGGATGGTCCGGGCATCAGCATGTTTTTACATGAGTAGAATGTGTCCTTTTATTTAAAATGCATCTCTGGGTTATTTGTGGGGCATAGGAATTCGTTCATTTATTTATTTTCCAAAATATAGTCCGGCCCCCCACAAGGTATGAGGGACCGGCCCACAGCTAAGAAAAGGTTGCTGACCCCTGGACAAGGGGGACTAGGCTAGTCCCCTAAATGTTCCCTTGGTGTCTCCAAACCCCAGGAAGCTCCTGTCTGGCTTAGGGAGGGAAGTGTGATGCTCTGATGGGTCCAGGAGCCCTCCTGCCACCTCCCCAAAGCCTGGGAAGCTTCGGCCTGGCTTACGGAGGAAGACAAGATGCTCACAGACATGATGTGAGGACACCGTGACGTCAACCCCCCCCCCCAAAATCGCCTTTGCAAGCTGGTGCTTCTGACCCTAACTGTTTTCCCTTTGAACAATTTCACCATACGCCCCTGGACCCGATGGGTCATTGGCCTGACTCAGCGGGCTCTCACTATGTTCTTATGCCCAGCGGCTGAGCAGATGCCTGTGGCAAGGCCGTAAGCAGGACCCAAGTTCAACAGCTCCCTCCATCACCCTGTGCCAGCCTTTGCCAGCCTAAGTGCCCTGCAGATCTTTTGTGCCCACAACCTGGGACTCTAAGGTGTTGCAGCTCAAAGCATCTGCCTGGCACCCAGTTGACGAAGGGCTGATCTGCTCTCCGGCCTGCGCGGAGCCTGGAGAGAGTCGCTCTTGCTTTTCTCTCTTTCCTTCCGCCTCCTCCGTGACAGCCGCCCCTCCCCATCCCTTCCACGTCGCCACAAACTGTCAACATAATTTCTTTAATCTAGTCTCTCCGTCGGCTAAGGGCATCCACAGGCGTTCCTCGTGTGATTTGCTCCATCATCCCCTCTGATTCACTCACACGCGCGTGTAAGCGACTCCCAGCCCAGTGTGCGAGAACTGGCTCAGTTGTAAAGGGAAGCTCTGAGGGTGGGGCAAGGCTGAATCTCGCCCCCTCACCCTTTGCCAGGCATCCAGTCGCCAACTGATGCTGTGGCAAAGGAAGAGCATGTGGAATCAGCTTGTGGTTCATTTCCCCCTCACTCCGCAATTCTTGTCATTGCTGGCAACCGTCTGTTTCGTGGTCCTCCAGGGGTGAAGTCAACCCCCTGCGTTGACAGCACAAAAATGACCTCTCCAGGCCACAAGCCTGGGCAGTGTGTATGGAGGTTCTGGGCTGCCTGGGGAAAAGGCACGGTACAAATAAGTATAATGATGACCCTAATTACAGAGCTAAGGAGTAAATTCTCCACAAACCCAGAGCAGAGTCCCTAAGGCAGTTGGATGGAGCCTTCTATGCCTCCTTCTGGGGGCAGGCAGGTGTGGAGGATTCCCTGGTCCTGAATGGGGTAACTGTGCCCCTGAA